ACTTTGTACTGCCTACCGGCACACATTCTATATATAGCATAAACAAATTCTGTTCAAGTGTGTGCTGCCCAATTGACGTGACATGGCGAAAAGTATAACCTAATCTTGATCTTCTCTTCAAAAGCTGTGTTGATCTCAAATCCAAAGTGAAGCAACACTGCCATCTACAGGGATGTGTTAGTCACTACAAAGGTTTATAAACCGGAAATTCACAGTCAAGATGGGCAAAACCTCTTCCATGCCTACCCATTGATATGTATATGTTATATTTCAAGTACCTCCGCACTGGCGTGTCGGCGGCGTCCATGGTTCCTATTGAAGGAGCCCCACCTCAGCTCCTCTGTGGAGTTGTTGTGCGGCTTCAGGGAGACCCCCGTCAATGAATCGCTCCCTAGAGAACCGAAAAGGATCAATAACACGTCAACCGGGTGTGAGTAAATGCCATCCGTACCGTCACTCTCCATGTCGTCGAGGAAGAGGCCTTCGTCCACGGAGAGGAAACTGAAGCTGGAGTCATCGCTCTCGTCAGAGATGTATCCGGACGTCGGACAGGGGTCACCCAGAGACTTCAGAGGAGCTCCCGGGGTCCTGGAGCGCTGCAAGGAGTGAATGTAGCGTGCCAAGCCGGCTCCTTTACCTTCGAAACATAGAACGCACATTTCGTAATTGATGTGTTTTTATTCTGGGTTTTTCCCATCTCTGCCCAATTTTCGATCGCCACAACCTCGAGATCCGTGTCGTTGTGAAAACGATGATCATTTGACCGGCAAGAGTTGGGTGCTGCATCAGAAACAGTTGGAAGTTGAGGGTCGCCAATATCGGCGTTACTTTCCGAGTCCAAAAGTGTCAGAGGGGATTTGGCTGATATTGATGATGCAGAGTCAGTTTTAGTCATGACAAAAACCTTTCTGCAAGGTTCTGCGCTTCTGCCTATTGGCCACATCATTCTTTGTTTCTATAATTCCTCCTTGCCACACCTAGTGGTAAATTACCCCATCCGATGTTCAGGTGTGCTTTCAGTGGAATGTAGGCTAAGTTCCTGTTTAGCCTCGACTGTTATGAATGAAAAAGAAAAAGAAACAATGTGTTCGAGCTCTTGGTCCTGCCCAAAATACCGTACTTATAATTTGTTGGGTTTTTTGCAAGTACTTCTGTGAATTTTCCTTTTCCCTGTTTTCTTCCTTGCGCAGGTTAGATTTGACTTTTGTATTTGTTCTTGTGAGATTAAATAAAGATAAATATAAACAGGGCACACAGAGACGAACAACCTTTCGCGCTCACACTCACACCTAGGGACAATTTGGAGTGTCCAATCAGCCTGCCGTGCATGTTTTTGGAATGTGGGAAGAAACCGTAGTACCCGGAGAAAACCCACACAGGCCCGGGGAGAACATGCAAACTCCACACAGGAAGGCCGGAGCCGGGATCGAACCCACGACCTCTGCACTGTGAGGTCGGAGACGCTAACAACTGGACCACCGGGCCGCCCGATGTTTGTTTCGCCATTTTGTTGAAATATGTGGTAGTACCACCCCGGTCTCATATCGATCCGGAGAAAAACATCTCAAAAACAATCCAAAAAAAATAAAAAATTAAGCCTTCTTACTGCTGCTGTAGCGCAGACTGTGCACCCTGCCTCTCTGGGACAACAGGGGGCAGAGCCAGGCGGCGTCCAGTCGGCCGAGGCGAAAACCACCGAGACACAAGGCGTTGTTGTTGAGGTCCAGGCCCAGACGGCCCAGCAGCTGGATGACCATCGGCCCGTCGCCGCGCTTCACGCTGATGGCAAGGGCCCGGCGCAGGTGCTGTTCGTGGGCACCTTGGCTCAACAGCAGCACCAGTTCTAGCGGGCCTCCCTTCTCGCACACCTGGACCACACACCCAGTGGAAGCACAAGTCAGAATTTGGGTTATGGCCTCTCTGTATTCCAGATTTTCACCTGGGATGCGTCCCGGCCGATAAACGGGGGTTGGTATTTTTCCATTATTTGCGGGCAGAGAAGTTTGATCAACGGCCATGTAATACTGGTGTGCACACCTGGTAGATGAGCGACTCCGTTTTGGTCTTCTTGTTGACGTCGGCCCCGAGCTCGATGAGGCACTCTGCCATGACGGTGTCTCCGTCCTCACACGCCTTCTCCAGCATGTTGTAGTGCAGCTCCGAGTTGGCGCACATCTTGGTCAGAGCCAAACACGCTGACCGGCGGAGCTGAGGATATACAAACAGGGATTGGGGGAGTGTCCATTTTAGTGTCAAAATGTCATCTCTAATCCAGGGTTAAAATAAATTTGGAATTTTCATTATAGTTCATTTTTATTTTGTTTTGAGTGGTATTTTTTCAAGCTCAGTAAGCTTTAATTTGCTTTCAGAGCGCTCTAGTTTTTTTTTTTTTTTATCAACTTGTATTTTTAAAATTTATTTTAGTATTAGTTTTTGTTTTTTCATTTTGCGTAGTTCTTTCATGTAAGACGAAACAAAAACTGTAAGTAATAATATTATTTAAAAAACGTCTTCAAAACAATCATCCACAAATCAAACACAGGGACTGTAAGAAAAGATTTTGAATCAGCAGGCGCATCATGGTGCTTCAAAAGTTAGATGCATCACAACCCTAATGTGTAAACCAAGATGGTCTCGCTTTCGATCCCTTTTTTGCCAAGTTGCCACTTTCTAAAGTGGATTTGTGGCTTGGATTCCTCTTGAGGAATATTAAACCCGGTGTAGAATATACGATATTTTTGACTCAGCAACAGACAGTATAAGGACCACAACTCCCAGACGACTGTTCGACCTTCCTCTGGCTAATGCCCGTGCCGCAGTACCGAAATAAAAAATAATAATTTTAAAATCATCCCCAGTCGCCAAAGATGAAACCAAAGGGCATTTTCAGTGCAATTATAGTTACTTTTAGGAGGTTTTGTAAACATAAAATGTCATTTCAGTTAGTTTTTGTTTTTAAAAATGCTTTTAAATTTTGTTTTGATTTGTTATTTGGTGAATGAAAATGTTGTTTCATTCATTTTGGTAAACTAAAAATAACCTTGCTCTAACCAAGTCTCTGTGTTGTGACATACTGGATTCTTGCCATGCTCAGGAATGTCAGACTCTCGGAGGTGCTGGAATATCTGACGGTCGAAGTCTTCCCTCTGCAGCTCCATAGCCGATCCTGAACAGGCATCCAGCATCCTCAATGCCACCTGGAAACACTGCGGAAGACACATGCAGAGTTTGTAAAAGAAAAAAAATATATATTCCAAAATGTGTTGGCGTGAATGAAGGCACAAATTATTTCTGATGTTTTCTCCCATTTTTAGTCAGTTTTTGCCAGTTTTTAATCATCACACTAGAGTTGAAATCAAATGAAAATCTGAGACATTCGAGGGCATGTGAGCCGCAAATGCTGCTGGATGCTCGATACCTTGAGCAGCAAGTCATA